CCAAGCCCTGCGATGTTTGCAGAGTGCCCTGCATGAAACGTGGCCTGCTGGCAGAGGCATACCGCCCGGGCAAAGCTCGGTGCCCTTCACCTTCGACACGGTGAGCCTCGGCGCCCCAAACCGATCATCAAGACTTTGCGCACAGGGCACCAGCAGTATGTTGCAGAATGGGTGGCATCATCTTACGGGAGGACGAGAAGGGCACCTCCAGAACGCGCGGGTACTCGCCTGAGCTCCAACTTTTAGAAAAAGCATAGGTCCAGCTCCCCTTTACCTATCCGACGCATCCCACACTCTACGGCTCTACGGCGCATCGTTGCACGCTCCATTTCCCTCCATCCAGCATCCAGGTGGCGCAGTGCTCCCCATGCCCGATGCAAGCCGTGTCGCTGGCGATCGTCTCGGAGAGCCCCACCTTGCGCGCTGCAACCACGATCGGCGCTTCGGAGGAGTTGCCCTGGCAAGGCAGCTTTGGTTCATCTTTCACGAAGCAAACAGATGTCTCCAGTCCCTCAGGCCATCAAAGCCATGAGCTACCCTTGACCCGCCTTGGGCGTCCACTTCATCACTCCGTCCTCATCCTTCTCTTTGGACAACGTGGTGTTGCAGCAAAGGATGGCCTCGGTGGTCCAGCAACTTAATTGGGCGGGCAATGCCCATCCTGTGGGAACAAAATGTCAACTCCGAGCAGCTGTGAGGAGGTTGCTCTTCACGCCTCAGATTGTTCGTGCGACGGAAGTCCGCATCTCTTGACTCGGCCCCCCCCCTAGCCCTCCAGGCAGCCGAAGCCAAAATTGCACGCCCAGCAGCCCATGTCCTTGCCGCTGTCCGCGTTGCTGCCACTGCGCTGCACTTGACCCACCTGGAGGGGTGCGCACAGAACTCAGCAGTGGAAGTTGTTAAGCGCTTTCCCCACTTTCCCGAAGTGCAGCCCCACCTCCGGGTCGAAACCCTTGCCGGTCACGTCGTAGGTGACGCCCGCTGTGTACATGCCAACCATGGTCATCTTGCCTGCCAGTCTCAGCGCCCCACCAAAAAAAAGGAACGCACAAGAAGCAGCAAAGGCAACAACTCGCGACTCTGCATACAGATCACGTTTTTGAGTAGCTACCCTAAGGCGCCTTCAGTGAGGGTTCCTGTCTTGTCGCTGCAGATGACGGAGGCAGAGCCCAAGGTCTCGACGGCCGCCAGCTTTCGGACCAGCACCTCCTGGTTGACCTGACGTATGTGCCTATGTGCTGCAAGGCCTTGAAGCAAATCCTATATTGCTTCATGGCTTGCAGGTGGCAAGCAGGCTACGCCCTCCCCAAGCAAGGACGCATAGCCAGACGCATCTCTCGTTCGGCTCTGTCAATTTGACATCCAACTGAGGCACCCGCCATCTCCTTAGCTGCAAGGCAGGCACTTGCAGAATTACGGCTCTGCGTCTGGGCAGGAGTGACATGTGTCAACCCCAGGGCATGCTAGGGAACCATCCTGAGATCCCACCACTTTCGGTAGCCGGGGCTCCGAGCAGCCGATCGACCTCAGCACATCTCAGCAACGACCCTGCTTTTTCCAGGAGCGGATGGAACGCTGCTGTGTCAAAAGCTTCTGCCAAGAGACAATGAGATCGTCACGCAGAGCGGGATGCCTTCCGGGATGGCGGCCACTGCCAGGGTGACGGACACGAGGATCATGTAGAGCCAAGCCTCAGCTTGCAGCTCGAGCATGCGCGGTGCGCCCAAAGTGGCCTTCCACGAGCAGGCAAGGCACAGCGCTCTCGGGATTCGAAGGATCCTTGCGGTCCGTGACCCAGCCGATGATGAAGATGCCGACCTGAGACTGAAGTCCGTGTTGAACAGGTGGGCACAAGCGAGTACAAGAGCGACGCCCTGTACAAGATATGGTAACCTCCCGAAAAATCACTTGCAAGTTGGGAAAAACTCCCTACCCAGTACATTGAGCAAGCCACGCAGATGACGATTGCCAGGACGCCAATGCGGGCGCCTGCGCATTGCGAAGGAACATCAACAACCACTTGCCCATCCAGCGGCGGAAAGGCAAGCAGCATCACCACACCATCAATGTAAACTGTCTCACCAATGCGCTTTACACATGCATGGCAGGGGCTGCAGCAGACCGGCACGAGGTCACAGCTGCGCGCGGGCCGGGTGGCCATGAAAACCCCACTGCAGCGGGTGATGCCGCTCCGCAACAGCCAGACGAAAATCAACAGGTGTGCAAAAGCGAGGGCCATATCCATATGCATAGAATTGAAGAACAGCACCCGGCCTAACTTGTTGAGGTTTTGCTGCAGCGGCGTCTGATTTCCGGATGTGTCTGGGAAGCAGAAGCACGTGGTCTTCTGTCCACCATCCTGCAAGCATTTAGCACACAACTGATTTTTTTCGCGCACGGACATGCCATGGATTCACGGATTCACGCATCCTCGCCGGAGATGAGCTTGGCAATGCGGCCGATACCTGGCCAACGGCTGGTGGGTTAAGCACCACCTCTGCAGTGCCCTAAAGGTTGCACCAAGAGCTGCCGAGCGGCGGGTGTTCATGCCGGTGTCCGTCACCAGGCCGCGGCCGAGTCCGCTGGTGATGCTGCAGCCGGAGAAGGCCATGGTCTCAGGCGTGAGCCTCAACTCAAAGCTGCAAGGCCCGGGCCAAAAGACAATTCCTCATCCTACAGAGCCCTCACATGCCCTCACAACCTTCCACACGTCTCGAGCTAACCCGCAGGTCCGGCAAAGCGCGGCCCGAGCAACTTTTCGGGGGCACCATCCTTCTTCTCCTTCACCTTCGAAGTCTTGGCCACATCGTCAGGCTCGCCTGCAGCCC